TTATATGTACTAATATGTCATTTAATAGTAGGATAACCTATGCTTCTTTTTCTTGATTGTTTCTTCTTTCTTTTTTGAAAGTTATTTCTGCTCGTGCTTTGTTGTATTTTTCTCAAATCATTTCAATATTTTCAACTCTTTCTATATGCATTACTGCTTTGAAAACTTGTGTTCATATTGTATGCTATGGGATATCCCATATAGTTACCTATTCTCTATTACTAGTATTTAATTTCTCTATATTTTGGTTTTGCTTTGTCTCCTTTCTTGAATTTTCTTGTTTCGTAAGATCTTTAGAGAATCTTTTTTTTTTATTTTCTTTACTTATGTTATCAGTTTTAATCTCTTTTTCTACATTAAACTTTAAGATTGTATTACTATTTCTAACTTCTTTTGTTATTTCCTTTTGTATTATATCTTCTCACTCTGTATTATTATCTCTATATATCATTTTTCTTTTACCATTATCCTTATAACTGTATTTTTTCTCATTACTTGATTCTGAGCTTGTCTGGCTTCTTTTCTTTTCAATTTCTTCTAACTCTGCTTTTATTTGTTTTTCTCTTTTTGCTTTATCATTTTGTTTGTTTTTTATATCTTCATTATTTGGTTTGATTTTCTCAGCTCTATCTATTTTTTTAATTGGAGACTTTTCTAAAATTAATTTTAATTGTTCAAACTCTTCTTTTCCTTTTTTAAATTTTTCTCTTGCTTCATCATATCCTTTCTTGTAATCAAAATATAATATATACCAGAGGTTGCTTTTTGTGAATTTCTCTTGAACTTCTTTTAAATGTCTGTTTTCTCTTAATGCCTATTTGATATACTTTTCTTTTTGCTTATCATTATTCTCTAATATATTTATTGCTACTATTTTCACTTTGTATATTCCTTCTTCTTTATATGTATCTTTTTTAGGTACCCATATACTTTCTTCTAGTAATGAATTTCCATACCTTGCTTTGATATATTCTTCTAGCTGTGTGAACTTTACTCCAAAAAGATTTTCTTTCAGTTTAATTTCTAAACTTTCTTCAATTATTTTAATATCTTCTATATGTTCTGCTTTTTTTGATCTATCTAACTTTAGTTCTTCATTTTCTAAATTCTTCATTTCTACTTCTAAACAAAAAATTTCTTTTAGTTCTCTTATATCTTGTATTACTACAGGTTCGATACTTTTATTTGTATTAGTACTTTGTATATTTTCTTTCTCTAATTCTATTTTTGCAGTATTTTCTTCTTGTAATATAACTTCTTTAATTTTAGAGAAGTCTTTTATTATTGCAATTCTTGATAAAGCTATTCTCTATTGCCTTATTACTGTAACTATTTCCTTGTCTATACCTATTGCTATAGCTATTGCTTCATTAAAGAAGTCTTCAATCTTTTCTACTTCTGTACTTTCATCTCTAAAGAGCTCTCTGCTATACTTTTCTGTAAACCTTTTTGTTACTTGTTTAGAATTTTCTTTGTTCCATATGCTTCCTAATAAAAATTTTGAAATTTTTATTATATATTTTTATAAC